GCTGTAACAGATGGGGAGAGGGGAAAGAGAGACACACAGCGAGCCAAACGGCAGTTTAACATGGAGGAGTTTGATGCAGCTGCTGAGGAGAGGGACCCGGTGAGTCACGCAGAGGACGACACCTCCAGAGTCATGGAGGAAGAGGAGGGGGCACAGTCTACTGCAGGGTCAGCGTACAATCCCGACAACCCCTATCATGTGAGTACCAACTTCATCAACAGCACTGTTTACAGTAAACAAGGCTCCAGTGCTGGTGAATTTCTAATTAACTATCAAGAGGCATATACTGCGCCCTGAGGCAACCCTTGAAGTAACATTATGAATTGAAGTTTCTCTGTTTTGTCAACACAGATGACTTCATAACACTATCCTTAAGACAGCAGCCTTGTTAAAAATGTAGTCTCATAGAAATAGCAGTACATGGTGTGAAAATGTGTTAACCTGGATTAAGTCCTTCTGTCAGATGTGGGTGTACTGCCAGTACTGTTGAGTGGGTGTTACATTAGTGCCCATAATTACAGGGCAGTGGGGTAACAGCTGCCATTCCAAGTTGATGAACTTATGAACTGAAGTGAAAAATTCCCATTGGTTATAAAAATTCATGTTGCCTAAGAGAACTGTAGTCACATGTTTGGGAGGAAGAGAAGTTTTTGAAAACATTTGAATTGCAAATGAGTATAAATTTAGAAAAAGATTCCTCTTCAAAATTAACTTTGCTTCCAAACTGCAGCGCAGCAGCGGGGCCGGAGAGAACGGCGCCATGACCTTTGACACCATGTTAGACCACCAGGGGATCTGTTGCTCAGAATGCCAACGCAGCTACACTCACTGTCAGAGAATATGCGAGCCTCTGCGCGGCTACTGGCCCTGGCCTTACAACTACAGAGGATGCCAGGTAGCTTGCACAGTCATTATGCCCTGTCGCTGGTGGGTGGCACGCATTTTAGGTGTTGTGTAAGAAAACATGCTACACTTGTGAGAGTACATATCTTTTTTTTTTTTAATGACCCTCAATGTCTCTAAACTTTCAGCTTCTACGCAGTCATGCATGTAGACATAAAGAAAAGAAAGTTACGCCTGTTCGCATGAAATGCAGATCATGATGTATGATTATCTATACTGCAATACACATCTTTAAATACAGTAAAACTGGATTACAAATATGCCACATTCTTTTTTGTAGCAACAGACTCACAAATAAACACATACATTTTTGTAATACCAAGGATTATTGCGCTGTACTGTGTGTAATAGAAGGTATGGGACTGAATCCAAAAGCTCGGCAGATCATGTACATTTTCTGACTGAGTAGGCTTCAATAAATTCTAATTACAGTATATGCTAGCTTTGATGTACATGTTGTTTTGTGTGTCACATCTTGTTTCCATGGTTCCACTGGTTGCTTTTCTGATAAAACTGAAGTGACAGCAATGGTTGTCATAACTTCCATTCACAGCTCAGAATCAGTTTGAGGGCATTGCAATTTGTGCACACTGACATCTGCATTGATGTGAACTAATGTGAGATGAGTGTCATGGCAATGATGGAAAATATTTCCATAAAAGTAATATTTTTATTAAATAAATAAATCTACATTTTTTTGCCATGAAAAGTGTGAATGCTAAGCTACAAAATAACATGATCACAGAGACAGGCTTTTTTTGCACAGCTGTTATTGGGGCTTGTGGTGTAGGCTATTCTGAATACCTCAAAATCAAAAGAAATCAGATTACTATCTCTAAAGCCATATGCCAACTTTCTAAATAATTGAAAGGAGCCATGTTGTGATCAAGACGATTTCACAGAGGGTGATCCAGGCACATCAAATTACAACAGATGTGAAATTGCACCATATCTGCCACTAAAGCCGCATTGCAACTCTGAAGCAGTGTGAGGAAACAACACAAAGAGATGCTTGTCTCTTTTCTTGGAGATCTTGCCTGTTTTCATGGGGGGTAGAGGTGCTTATCACATCTGCAGTGCTGATAAGACGGCTTCTGTGCTTCCGTAGGCTATATAATATTAATCCCTCTCCCACGACTGCAGATGCACTTAAAGGAAGGTGACAAGCATGACATATCCAGGACCTCCTGATGGCTCGTGCTCTGGAGTGCAGCGGCTAAAAGAGCCCCAAGTACCCTCAAGTGATGTAAATTTGCAGGGGGAGTCCAATTTCCATCACAGCACTGTCAGTGCCATGGTCATTAAACTAAATCATCCCGCTGTGTGTCACACAGCTCCCATTTTAAAGTCCCCTCAATAATGGAGTTATACTTGGACTGCAGATTGCAGCACAACAGTGAATGTCTGGCCTGACAGCAGCTGTAATAGTATCCTGCATATTTTTTCACCTTTATAAATCACAGGCAGACATGTATATATGGACATAAGCGATACCTTGAAATGATTCATTAATTGAGAGACCTTTTTGTATCTTAATTGCACCAGCTGCTGTGGACTATATATATATATATATATATATACTTGCCAAAGTTAGTGACTGCAGCTGAAATTTAAAGTTGATGTGTTATGTGCCTGTTGCTGTCGGCAGTTTCCTTGGGTTTCACTCAGAATATGTTGATACAGCAGCACAAGACAAAGAGCTCTGAGTCTAAGCTAGACAAAAGGAGATGAAAAACACAAAGCAAAAAGAAAAAAACATATCACCACAAGCAACAACTCAAAATGGCATTTAAACTGAGAAAAAAATACATAGCTCAGAACAACAGCAGTTTTGTTATCCTGAGGCCCTGTTTCTAAAAAACTTGTTTCCTTTTGCCATTCCTCCCCTAAGAAGAGAAATGTACCCCCATTGAGTAGAAACAACGAATGTGTTGGAGAGCAGCTTCAGTGTGTGAGACAGTGGTGCCTTTTTGTTTGTCTCCCCTCTGGAGCCAAGCTTACCCTGGGAGCCCTGCAGGCCAGGGAACAAACAGAGCTTTGTGAACACTGACCCACTGTGCCCAGCAGCCAGACTGCAAACTTCCACTCCTGTGCTAATAGGAAACCACAGAAAAGGCGTCCGCAGCAGCCGAAGGCAGGGGGAGCTTTCTCGCATCCACCTGTGCTTTCATCATTGCCCATCAAAACAAGCACAGTCAGGCAGGGTGCTGTGGTACGCTGGTGACCACCAAATCAAAAGCTTTTTCACCAACATCCTCTTGGCACCAACCCTCAGCACAATGCATTTGGGATATCTTAGCTAGTGATTTATTCTGTGGCATGGATTTGTGGTAATCAAGCCTGTGCACTCACTAGAGCTCCCAATAAATCTGTCAATAGCCTGTCATAAATTTGCTGTTGTTGCCCAAGAGGCATTAGAAGTGTGAATAGAAGTGTGAAGTGAACCACTCTAGCAAACGTGTCCTACATTTGATTGCATGTTTTCCATTACATCCAGACATGAATGAAATAAACAGTAGTGACAGTCCATTTTGCACCTTAACCAGAACACAGAAACCCTTTTAGGCTAGCTCATTATGTTTTTCTGCAAGAAGGCACTGCAATACGTTTATAGATGCTGGCATCATGAAAAACCTGTAACCCGCAGTTTTGTGCCGGCAATAACAACCGAGGCACCAAACATTTGTCTTTTCTTTTCTCCTGAATGGTCGGAAATAACATGGCTGGATTGGGGGGGGGGGGGGAGTTGATACAAGGCTTAAATGCTTTTTAATCCCATGGTTGAGTGACCACTTGCAGCTCTGCCCAGTAGTCTGACTCTGCCTGCCATTTGCAGGTCTCTCTGAAGTTTCTTTGCCATTGGCTGGAGTATCTGCTTGACTGCCCCTTTCTCTCACCCCCTCTCACCCTCCTATTTAGTATGCAAGCCTGACATGACCATTAATTAAATGCCTGCTGGTATTGTAAAAGGAAGTCTGCCTTGTTTGTTTTACTATGTTAAAACTATAAATATTGTCTATAGATGTATTTGCATTCAGTGAATTACACTTTCTATGTCATGAAACATTATTATTAGCGGATTTCCTAGGTGACTCAATTACTCTGCTCACACTGCATAGATTTCTTTTTGTGTGTATTGCACTTGGTTGCATGGTGTCCTTGTTACACTCAAATAGAAAACCTGTAGTGTGGTGTTGGTCTAAATTGGACACAGTGCTGGAATGCAACTGCCGGTAGCTCCTTCAAACTTTGCTACATTTTTTTCCTAGGGACACACTGTATATTTAACAGTTTATGTGGTGGAGGCACCCAATCTGCAGTGAATGTCAAGAGTTTCCCACAAGAGGTGGGCAGTTATCTGTCTAACACAGCATGCATGGGCTCTCTCAGAGGTCACTCTATGACCAACAATGTAATTATGCTACCTCACACATATCATCATTTCTTTACCCTGAAAATGTAATTTGGAAAGCCACCCCAATGGCATCAATATTAAAAGACTCTTTATCAAAATATGGCATTTGTCAAAACATCAGTCACGGTAGGATGTACCCCAGAACGTACACATCCTCTGGTGGGGTGCTTAAAAAGAGCTATAGATAGCTCAAAGCAGAATATATCAAGACTTCACATCTATACAAAAAAAACCCAGCTCCTCCACAAAGCAATGTCAAGAGGCTTGCCACATGAAAGCAGAAGTTGTCCAAAAGAGTTGTAGGAAGTACTGACAAAGTTTATGAGAAAAAAGTAAATGTGTTTTTAATCCTCAGCAGCACGTGCAACAATGAGGCAGCCTCAGCCCTTAGATATGCCACCCCGGGGGCAGGCTCTATACTTAAGGCTTACAACAGCCTCATTATCTCCCTCAACTCACATCAGATCCTAGCAGCAGTTTGTCACAGGCAGGCTCCTCTCTGCCAGTAGGCATCAGACCAATCCTCCTGCAACACTACTGTACATAATTGCCATATGGACAGCATTTTGAGCCAGACTGAAGACTAAAAAGCCCTCCAGGCAGATTCCCCAGATAACTAAATGAATATTTTATCTCATTTCCATCTAATTTGCACCACATTATTATACAGAACTGAAAATTTTAATTAATTGATAGAACAGATCAAACACAGGTTTACACTTTGATTTTCGGGAGCTGTTATTTTGATAATTTGCATGACTTTTTTCCCATGCCAAGCTTTTTAATCTCCCAAAATTTCAGCATCTCTATATAGAAACACTATAATAAAACATACAGCAAATTAATAACTGTCAGCGCACATGAAATGCTTGTCTTGGTTGTGTGAGCAGTTCCAGTGAGGAGTCCTTTTACCTGCCACCCCACTGATTAATTAATTTCACACTGTTTAATTAAATCCACAGTCTGGGGAGTCTGGGCAGCACCGTGGGGAGCCCTATCTGAGCCTTGTGTGTACAGAGATTACTAAAGAAGGTCTCATCCACCCGCACTCTCACTGATGTTGACACTGACGTCACCCTTCTCTGGATACCAGAGCATTATTGTTTCAGGGTCATCACGCAGTTGTGAGCTTTTACTGCTGGGGATACGATAGCACCATTTGTTGCTTATCTGCTGGCATTTACATAAAGAAAGGAGACTGAAGCATTTGACAGTATTTGACATAAATTTGCGCAGTGACAGAAGAATCTGATAAAGTGTGCTGCCGCAGGATGTAAACATTTGATTTCCAGTTAACAGTACGATTAAAAACTAATGACATCCAAAGTGGAATAAAAATGCAGTATGAAATTTAAAGGAGAGTCTTAAAACACAAAATAAGAAGAAATAGGAGAATTACAAAATACACATTCAAATGGATAAACGCGAAAAATACATGGACCATGTTGTGCCACTGTAGATCAAAAACAGTGAAAAAACGGGCTTCAGTGTAAATGAGCATATCCCACACTGTTGTATCCAACAGTCAAAGCATCAGAGACACAGAGACACTTTCTCTCTTATGTCAGAACAGAGAGAGGTGCACGAGTGTGTGGCACAGCAGGCAATATAACTGTGTGGGCTGGATAGGACGCATGTTACTTTCTCTGTTCTCTTGAAACATATTTTTGGCATCGCTAATCATAAACACATTTTTAGTATTAAATTTTTCTTTACAGTAAAATGACATTTAAATGATTTATGAAAAAACGACACTTTTGAGGACTACGATGTATCCACACGCTAAAATTTGAAAGGATTACATCAATTCTTGCTAATCCGTCATAATAACATGACAACCTGACTCTAACTGTAGTTTGCCCAATGTAGTGTTTATGTGTCGAGGAAAGCAAGGATAATCAATTGGGTACATAAAGATGGCAGCCTGCTGGTTTGATGCGATGCGATGTGGAACCAGCATCTCCTTGTGCTCTCTATTTGAAGTGCCAAGAGCTCTTAGAGCGAGAAACGCTTCGTACAATGGCACCGATATGAAAAAGTCATGACATAAAACAAAGTGGGCATTTTAATACAAATGTTTTCATTTCAAATTACAGTTTAACTGGATTGTTATCAGATTCCTTAATTGAAAAAATTAGAATGGGGTGTCAAAAAAGTAGGGTGCCAATTATCTAAGGTTAAAATAAGCCATTTTATATGAACATGTGTTTACTGGAAAGCTTAATTAGCTTTAGAAATGATCAAAATGTCATGTCCTTATTCCACATCTCTTCTACTATAAGCACCACAAACATACACACGCTTTTATCCAAACTACTAAATCTATAAACAGTTGTGCTCTTTACTTAGACAAGATAAACTTTTAATAGGCATTCCAGCGCTACAGCATCAAGACAGTTTTGCCGACTGATACAGCATTAGCTGGAAGAACAACCCTCTATTTGTGCTTGCCTTGTCCTGTGACAGGAAGACCTATCAGGTGCTCATCTCTACCCAGCCCCCCCACCCCAACCCCATCCCTCTCTCCTCCTGACCTCATTCTGTCATCTTCGTTTTCCTTCTTCCCCACTCTCAGGTCTTTTATAAAGTGTCTCCATGCATTACACATTTAACAATGCATTAAAAATAGGCCACCATCAATCAGTCATTCAGTGGCGGAGACAGAATCTACTTGTGGCACCAATTTGATATGTTTCTCAAGGTTCAAGAATGAAAGGGATGCTATTAAAACTTAGGCTGCTGTGTATGGGAAACTTAACAGAGACGAAAAACACACATTTATGTGCTAGTAATACACCGTACCCCATAAAACCCACCGTAAAAATTTTGAATTCCCATTTGCTCGATTTCCTACGGCACAGTGTCTTTCCAGAATCCAGAAACAGAATCAAAATAATATATATGCAGTTGGTAAGCCGTGACAAGATTTCTGTTGATGGGTGCCAAGTTAACATTGTGCCGAAAACAGTGATTTGAGAACTATGATGCATGATACAGGATAGGTACTAGGTAAAATCTGATGTAATGGTTGGGAGTGAGTCAAGCCCCAGGGGCAAATAGTCTGAACAGTCTGACTCCAGGTTGCTCATACCAAAGCAGATGTTCAACTGATGACAGCAGTACAAAAGGCAGTGCTGCATGTTATTCACAAGGTATTTTACATTATTATGATGGCATGTCAAGGTTGCTGAGCAACCGATAGAGTCCCTTTGGTAGCCATATGTATATTTTAAAAAGAAACACTGAAGTATTTGCACCCTGCCACGTGGGTTTTGTTAAACCAGTAAGGTTTTTTCTTGCTCAGGTAGAGGTGTGGAAGTCTGCTTGTGAGCTTTGATGTTGCCGCTCTGCTCTGAGGCTTGATCCTGCGTTCTGGACTTCAAAACAGACTGCACCTCGTCATGGGCAACAGCTTGAAGAGGTTGACACCAACTGCACAGACATGCCTGAAGGACCACACACACAAAGACATTTGGTCAGAGGACAACACACATTTACCGTCAGTATGTAATCATGCAGTTTTGCCTATTTGTATGTCTCTTAACAATGACCAGTAAAAACGTTATCGCTAATCCAAAGAGGGAATAATTAAAGCAGTTTTATTCCTGTGTGTACATTTGTTGAAAGCAATCTTAAGTTTGGGTTGTATTTTAAAGAAAAAAAGGGAAATATAAAAAGATGGAAAAACATATATACATAAATGTAATAAAAAAAAAACATATACCTTTATACATACATTATACATAAACTGCAGAGGAAGAGAGAGTAGTTCTCCATGTACTGTGATGAGCCAAAACAAATCAAAGTATGTTTTAGATATGCCCTTCCGAGCTAGTAATTAGTAAAAGTAAAATTGCCTTGAAGCTATGTTTTCTTCTTCTTCATAACACATCACTCTGATTCAGTGATGAATTGTCTGGTAGATTGCCAAGTGTCTGGGTGTTTTTTTTTCTGACAATGTTTTTCCAGACCGTTTTCACTTATTACCCCCTCAGGTCATAGCCTACTCCAGTCTGGCTATTTTACAGACATGGCTCCATATGTCCTTGGTGACACACATGATAGCTCATCCACTGTGGATCAAAATGCTGTCACCCCCACCAGATGTGTCTACTTTTGTAGTGCCTTGAATATTGTAAAACAGTAAGTGCATGAAAGTATATCTTACCATGAAACATCTTTTAAATTTTTTGCTGACTATGTACAATGCAATAGGGTTGATGCACGAGTTGAGGGATGCCATATTAATGCCAAAATAATCCAGGACAAGAAAGACACTGAAAAAGAGGGATAAACATCAGGTATTAATTAGACAAAAGAGCACGGACCAGGTAATGAACAATGAAAAAAAGGTACTGAATACTTCATGCTCACCTCAGAAGCTGACATCTATTAGGATCTTTCTCATCGTATATGGTTAATTTCAAGATTCTGCTTAGGTATAGAGGTAACCAACAAAGTGCAAACACGATCACCAGGCAGAAGACAGTTTTTGCGACTTCTCGTCTCTTAAAAAAGAAAGATAAGATCCATATTAGAGTTGACATTGCACAAAAATTTGAGAAATGTGGGGGAAAAAGTTGCAAAATGTGTCTCAAAGTGTTAACTAATAACCTGCTTGGCATGGTCGCTTAATGTATTCTCAGTATTCCTCAGCATTTTCCTGGTCATGAGCGTGTAGAAGACGGCGGTCCAAGCCAGTGGCATGCAAAAGTAAAAGCCAAAGAGCCACCAGTCCTTAACTGATTTATAAAACTGTTGATTAAACATGACAGAGGCCCATAGTCAGTCGGTGCTGCAGATGACATGATGTTTGGTGGTTGCTACACCATGTATAAAACATCTGAGACACACACTTCTACAAGAATGTGCTGGGCATTTGTTGGATGAAGTTGATAGAAATAACATTAAAGCCATTATTCTTTTCATGCCCTATCAACGCTCATACATGTTGCTGTATGTTGGATATTAAAAGACAATCAAATCAAACACATGTTGATTTGTTTCTTTTATCCTGTTGCATTGGCTGGAGACAATTACATTACCTGCATGATCTGTGTGGTTTGCATGGGATGAAGCAGACATATTCTCAGATGCTTGTCTTTATAGTCCATTGTTATCATATCAAAGCCGACAACTTCAGGCACAGCCAGCAGGATAGAAATAACCCATATCAGAGTTATTTCGATTGCTGTCCACAGTGAAACCCCAATGCTTTTGATCCGATTCCAGGATACTACGGCTCGGTATCTGCAAAATCAATGGGAAAATGTTATGGCTTGGGGGACTTTTTGTCTGTAACAATAATACATTTTTCAGTTAAAGAACATTTCAAGGGCTAATGCTAAACAAATCTGTCTGCTTGATGAAATACAGATAGTAGCCAGCATACACATTTTCTTGTAGGGCACAGGACTGTGCTGCTTATCTCCTTACCTGTCAACACTCAAAGCACATAAGCTCAACACAGTAATTCCAACAGTGGTTTTCTGTATGAAAGGGACGAGTTTGCACAACACCAAACCGAACGGCCAATCTTCTGCAATGAGCTGAAGTAAAAGCAAAGAACATTTTCCGTAAAAAAAAAACACACACCCAAAATCAATTCAAGGTGAGATTGAAGTTTAAATGGATAAAAAAAAAGGGCAGAAACAGGATAAGGCGCAACATTGTTTTCTTTTTGCAATTGCACAGCATGAGGTGAATAACTTACTCTGTAGGCGTTGATTGGAATGTCTATCACAATGTGGATTAGATCCCCCAAAGCAAGACTTGCAATGACAATGTTTGGTCCGCTTCTCATGCATTTGTTTACATATATGATTTTCAGTAAGGCTGAATTTCCCACTATTCCAACAACAAACACAACAACAGAGACCGCAGTATTGACATATTTGAAGGCGTCTCTGATTCCAGCTGACTCCAAGCACATAGGAGGGTGTGGTGTTTTTGGTCCTGCTACATGGGGTGGATGGATTGAGCTGTTGGATTTCTGTTTTTCCAGTATTAAAAGACCAGGGGAGGCCGTTCCAGAGAGTTCAATTACAGGGAATGATCCTGAATGCTGATCACTGCCCTCGCCTCTGATGAGAATATTTCCCAAACAAAGAATGAGAGCCACGGTCCACATGGTTAATGATGTTCCTCAAAAGGCCCTGAAATGTTTTTGCCAGCAATGGACTGAAAATGAGAGTGAAAGTAATTAACACAGCATCTTAACTTTGAGATTTACAGTATGCAGCACAAGCATTTAGGTGAGGTATAAGATTCATTTAATTGCCATATCTGAAAGACACAATAAATATACAGCACTGATACAATATAATACACTGAATTATGCCAGCTTACCTTTAGATGAACACATACAAACTGCATAAATTAGTCTCTGTAGTACTTAAACAATAGGCTGTATTGTACACAAAGGACTACTGTACTATTGCTTTGTGGCTGTGCCTACTTTAAATGTTAGAACCCAGCAGAGGGAAATCAGGGTTTTATACACTAAGGTATTGTTGTCAGAGTTAGTCATCGATCTGTCAGTAGTGACTGTAATTACTTCCCTTGATGCATCATCCTCAATGAAAGGATGGTGTTGAAGTGTATTGTCTGTCATCACAGAGTGAGATCATTTTATAGGCTTCAGGAGGGATATTATGTTGCAGTTGTTTCCCCCTCTATCACTAAAAATGTGGTCGTTTTCTTGTTTGACATAAAAGCTCCACACAAATTCTAAATGTAGCAAAATGTCTGTGTTAGTGAAGAGACAATGTTTTTTTGCTTAAAGCCAAAGAGCTTCTATCACTAAACTTAGAAGTCATCATTAGTAAATGTAATGGGAACAGGAAAACTGTCTTCTGCGTGTTCTTTTTCTGATGTACATGAGCCTGATACAAAACTACTGCCGGGCAACGACACTTGAATAATAACAAAAATGATACAAATGGAACCGTGCAATATTCAGTGAGTGTCCTCTAGAGATTTTACTTCTGTTGACATATCACATTTTTAAAGACATGAGTCAGTCTTCATCCTACTGGAGAGATGGTGCCTGTGCATCTCCTGAGAGTCCTGAAGAAGGTGACTTCTCCCCTCAGCAGCTTTATCACAACCTGAAGAGCCTGGAGGAGCACGAGACATGTGAAGACCAGAAAGATCCCATTGTTAATATCATACCCGACAACTACTTCGGCTGTCTTTTGAACTCTCAAATCTGTGCTCCGCTAGCGACAAATGACCTTGGGAAACTATGTGCTGGCGTGCTTCCAGAAGAACAACTGCTTAAGAAAAGTGAGTTAGTTGAGTTTGAAATGAAAATGTGTAATAACTGTTCACAGCCAGGCTGTCTATGTACTCTTCATTATTTATTACATATAAACTTTTTTTCCCACAATAGGCCATTGGAGAGAACCATGGTGCTTCAGTACGTCGCCTATAAAAAAGAATCTGTAAGGAACAATTAACAGTAGCGTGACTAAAAGATCTATAAAATGTTCATTTAACATTCTCTTAAGAAGTATCTTTAGTGACTATGTCATTGACCTATTACAATTTAATCTCCGGCAGTATTTGTATTACTTCCTTTTACCCACATTTTGATGTGATATGCTGTAAAATTGATCTGAAACCATTTTGTGATGCTTGTTTTCACTAACGCCACCATTACTGCGATGGCATGGTCAAAGTGAGTGCAGGTTTCCTTTGAAAATATTGGATGGTTGCGTTGATTAAAGGTGTCAGTCACCCCCTTCCGATGAATAAAAGTGGTCCAAGAAGTGAACATTATTCAGACTGAAGTTGGGTTATGACGTTAGTTTTAGGAGGGGGAAAAACGTAACATTTTGTTATCAATCAGCAAACTTGCAATTCATGATTTCCACCCCAACAAGCATTGGGTATTTCAGTGTAATCAAGTGTATTTCAGGGCTGCAATGATGCATTAAAGCACCACTATTGAAATGTATCCCCCTCACTTCCCTTGTTAGCTATTTATATCTCAGCAGGCAGCTGTTTTTACCAATAAAGCTCTGATAAAATCACTGAATGCAACCAAGCCAGCACCAAATGGCAGACAGATAAAGTTAGTGACAAACACTAGCTTAACACCAAGATATTTTCTAAAGGATTGATAAAGAGAAAAACGGAGCTGACAGGAGAGTGAGCATTGGACTGGCATTCATCAGGTAAACAGAAGTAATACTTCAAATGTCCAAAGGAAGACTAAAATCAAAGGCAACTGGATCTTCAACCAAGTCCAGTTGGCCTTGATTTTAACCTTCATTTGGATAAGTATGACCTGGATGACTGAGAATCTTCACACACATTACTTCAAATGACGCCATATTATTGTTGCTCCATGTCTGCTGAATGTGTTAAGACGTGACTGTTTGCTAACAAACGTGAGACCAAAACAACTTTATGAGATGGTAATACATCAAATGTATGACTTTTCTTTTAGCTTTTTAAGGGGTTCCTCTGCCCCCAAAAAATCAATTATTATAGCTGTAAGATTAATAGACTTGTTCGGGTAAAGCATTGCTGTAATTCTTTGTCTCGTGTCTCTGTTCTTCTGAGCAGTTCGGTCTCACCAGAGTTCATAGAGGTACGTACGCTGGATGGAAGATTCATTACTTTGGTGAGCACTCAGACCCAGACAGATTGGGAGTGGGTGGAGCAGAGCCTCTCTTTCAGCTGTCAAGGTAAGCCATGTCATCAGTTTGGATGCAAAGGGGTCACCTCTTCCTGCCCCCTCTTGCCTCTCATGACTTAGACATCTGTCAAATTCCCAATTATTTCTCTCTTGTGCAGTTCAAAAGGAAATTGAAGCCCTCCTGTTGTTGCAAGCAGAGGTGGCAAGCACGGACACTGATTCTTCAGAGGTAACCTGCTCATGGAAGAAAGCATGTTTTAGTTATAGTCAAGTGAAGGTGAGGTACTTTACTTGAGTAATTCAATTATATGCTACTTTATTCTGCTACTCCACTACATTTTTCTATTTTTCCACTACTCTTAGTTACTGGTTACTTTGCAGATTCAGGTAGCAATGTAAATTAGTTAAAATCACCTTTACCAGGTGCAAGTGTAGGTGTAGATAAGTGATTCTTATAAATTATTGCATCAACAATAATACAATAATGTTATATGAAGCATTCTAAAATTGGCCGTTGTGCATAATGACATTTGGTACTTTCAGTTTATTTTAATAGTAACTCTTTTGTACTTTTACGTAAGTAAAATGTTGCCTACATGACTTCTACTTCTACCAGAGTATTTCTATACTGTGGTATTGTTACTTTTACAAAAGTAAAAGATTGGCGTATGTCTGCAGGAGTCAGAGGATGAAAAGATGCTAAATAAGGAGTATGATACACCCTGTGTGGGTCCACCTCGTCTCATAGCATTCAAGCCAGAGCCAAAACAAACTCCTCATGATGGAAAGGTACCGTCTACTTAGTCCTGTATCTCTATATTGCCCACAGTGCCTGGAAATGACAGTGATGGCCTTTTTTCATTTCCCCACAGTAATAGCAGCATGTGGAGGCTATAATATCAGAGGTGGAGAGGTGATTGTGAATCTGTTTTTTGCTGCACTGTAGGTTCCAGAGGTTGAATCTAAACAGGATGTGCATCTTGCAATGTGTGACTATTGCCAGCAGCTCTGTCAGCCCTTTATACACAGTGAACTGCTGGGAAATGAAACAGACTTTGAGAGGGTAAGTGCAGCTTGTTTACCTCCAACAAGAAACTGAAAATAATTCATTGACTAAATTACTGTTCAGATAACTTTTCCCGAATAACAAAATTGTCTCCATTTGTGGTGGGAAAGGCTTCACGAGGAGGAGCACAAGTATAAAAGAAAAAAAAGAGAAATGTTTATTGTTGTAAAATTTTCTTTTATTCAGCTCTTTTGTTGTGAGCAAGCTAAAAAAATCAGAGCGCTTATCCTGGAAGAGAAAGAAAAATTGGCACAGAAGGAGTCACATAGAAAGATTGATGTGAACCCTCATGCACCTGTCATGAGTGAGAAGGAGAGGAAAGCTGCTAAAGAGCAGGCAAGGAAGAGGTGAGTAATTGGCGTGCATTGTCCCTTCCGCATTTATTTTATTTGTTGAGGGTCGTGTGGAAGGCTGTTAAGGACCTGCATGTACAGTAACTGTACTGCATTGCATATATATTGATATTGTACTACATTGCACGCCATAAAAGCTCAAAAATCTTTACTGTAGCAGGAAATATTAGGCCGTATCTGAATTTGATTCTGAACAAGCCCTTCAAGTTTTGGCATTGAAGAAAATAACTGCAGAAAATAACTTTGTCAATTTCTAATATAGGTTGAGACATTTGCAACTCCAGAGAAAAATTAAAAATGACAACTTGAAGAAAGAATTAAGTAAGTATGCAACCTGGGGGCCTAGCCTACAGAAATAAGTACAAATGATGAAGCAGTCTTTCATGCTTCTCACTGACAAAACATCACACTATGGCTATTCTCCTTTGTCTGTTCAGGCCTCAGAAACAAAACCTCTGTCAGTCCATCAACAGAGATAGATATTAAAATTATTACTGGCCTGTCTGCACTACTTAAACCGACAGCTGGTGAGCCAAAGGTATGTCTTCATAATGGCACACTATCATCAGTGTATTTACCAGAAATGTATAAATAACCTGATTATTTTGTGTGTCACAATTCAAGGAAGTGATTAAGAAGTTCTACAAAAGTGGCCAATGCTTTCTCACCATGTGTCCAGACGGAACGGGTAATGTTTTGTATCCTTTTAAGCAGTGCACAAAGTGGAAGATCAAGGACAAGGTCAGAGTACTTAATGAGAGGATACACATTTGTTCCCTTTGATAAAAGGTTTGCACAGTGTTAATGATCCTTAATAGACAAAGTTATCCTTCTGGGAAAGCAGCCATTATAATATCCTCTGCAGAAGCTGCTGACTTCACTTACATAATCTTGGAGGACAAGGACGTGGCGCCCAGCATCAAAGGCATTTTCACAAATAAAGGCCACTCCACATGCTACCATCCCAATGGAATGATATGGTAATTGTTACTCCATAATAATTATTATTATAATAATTGAAGCAAAGTTCTTACCAAAATAAGGCCATCAAGGAATACTCTCATATCATATCTTATCAGTGCATCAGCTATAGCCAGCAGCTGGTGAGCTTAGCTTGGCATAAAGACTGGAACAGGGAACAGCCAGCCAAGCTGTGTCTGAAGGTATAAGAATGTGCCTACTAGCACCTTTAAGTTATTTTACATTCTTGATTGGGAGCAGTTGCCAGGTAATGAGCGAATACGCCAGGAAGTCTTTAAAATGGTCTATAACATGTTAATTGGTGAGCTTTAGAGATGATGGTAGGTGTATTTTGTTTCCTTCAGACACAGGACAGCTCTCTCCATATCTTATGGTAGCTAAGCTAACCGGCTACAGAAAGCAAATAAGCGAATAAGCATATTTCGGCAAATGACAAACTATTCTTTTAATTCAATTAGTCAATTAGGAATTGAATATAGATGTCAAAACCCAATTGTAAATGTACCTTTGTATCTTGGACACCAACTGGTTAAGACCTCTTAGGTTTCTGAAACAGCTTTTTTTGATTAACCTGCTGCTCTCATGCTACAGGCCAGGATGTGAGTGTTGCTGTCTCTGTGATGTGTCTGAAGGTTGAATCTGACCCCTGTTGGAGGTCTCTGCCTCAATGAGACAGGAGCAAAGAGAAGACGCTGGAATTGGTTGTATTTTGACCCGCATATACGTACCCTTCCCTTCAAGCCTCTAACCTTTGCCCTGGGCCCACATATCAGTGTGCGCATACACTCACAAGAATGCATGTACATCACCTTTGCACATCGGCAAAACAGCGTGCGCTTTAGTGTGGGTTCAAAGCTTAAGGTGGGTAATGATAAATGTACTAAAAATGCACATAGTGATTTACTAGAATTGTATCTCTTTGTAGAATCCACGAAAAATATAGCAGCCTTCATGTCAAACTGCAGGCAGAAAATTGTCATTAATGATTTGCCATATGTGCACAGAAAGAAAGGAGACATTTGAAAATGGACAACATGCTATTTTATCTTTTATTGCAGCTCATTTATCCAGAGGGCCATGACAAGCCGGGGCAAGATGTTCTGGAGAGATATGTCCAAATGAAGAGCTCAGAGATTTACTCTCTGCTTGGCCAGATGCAGACCTGCTTGTCCCACCGCTTTGCAACTCTGAGCAACATTAAGCCACATTACGGTTCCATTGCCCAGATGCAGCGGCTTAGCAGACAAATTGAAAAGGAGAAGTCACCCGAAAAGATAAAGGCCCATGTAAATTAAAAGAGAAATACAGAATTGGCAAAAGCTGATATCATTTATGGCAGTGTTACAGCTTCCAGCCTTATGTTTTAAACCTCTTCAGTATCTGGTGCTTATAGTCATTCACGGTTACATTCAGACTGCAGGGCTTGAGCTTTATATAAAAAGATTTATGGAAGATTGGTTCAATTGGTTTGGCAATGCAGACATTTCTGTGAACATCGGAAAGCAGTTCATAGTTGCAGTTTAATGAACTGAAGCAGAAAATAAAACAATTTAGGCAAGTGTGTGTGTTTGGGCCATATATACAGTATTTAAAAAGATCAACAGGAACAAATTAGTTTATACCTTCCATAAGATCTGCTGGGATGGATTCAGTGCTAAATTGATTGCTTTTATGAAATCGAATAGCTACACCACATAATTGAATGATGAATGAGACTGAAAAACCTGTGAAATCCAGTTAAATACCTCACTTAACAGAGTGACCTAGACCTTCAACAATTCAGGAGTCCAAGGTAATATTTCCAACACCTGACTTGTTATTGAAGCTAGTTCATCTTCATCATGAGCTGAACTCAAAGATCTAAGACTTTCACTATGTACACAAAAGGCCTATTTCTCTCAAATATTGTTCACAAATCTGTCAAAATCTGTGTTAGTGAGCACTTCTCCTTTGCCTAGATAATCCATCCACCTCACAGGTGTGGCATATCAAGATGCTGATCAGACAGCATGGATATTGCACAGGTGTGCCTTAGGCTGGCCACAATAAAAGGCCACTCGAAAAGGTGCAGTTTCACTGTGTTGGGGGGGTCCACAGGGGTCCAGAAACCAGTCAGTCTCTGATGTGACCATCATTTGCCTCACTCAATGCAACACATCTTCTTTGCATAGAGTTGATCAGGTTGTTGATTGTGGCCTGTGGAATGTTGGTCCGCTCCTCTTCAATGGCTGTGCGACGTTGCAGTCAGGTCCAGACCCCGATGAGGACAACAAGCATGCAGATGAGCTTCCCTGACAGTTTGTGCAGAAATTCTTTGGTTATGCAAACCAATTGTTGCAGCAGCTGTCCAGGTGGCTGGTCTCAGACGACCTTGGAGGTGAAGATGCTGGATGTGGAGGTCCTGGGCTGGTGTGGTTACATGTTGTCTGTGGTTGTGAGGCCGGCTGGATTTTCCAAATGCTCTGAAATGCCTTTGGAGAGGGCTTATGGTACAGTAATGAACATTCAATTTACAGGCAACAGCTCTGCAGGACATTCCTGCAGTCAGCATGCCAATTGCACGCTCCCTCAAAACTTGCAACATCTGTGGCATTGTGCTGTGTGATGGAACTGCACATGAGCCTAAGGCACAAGGCACACTTGTGCAATACCCTTGCTGTCTGATCAGCATCTTGATATGCCACAACTGGGAGGTGGATGAATTATCTCGGCAAAGGAGATGTGCTCACTAACAGATTTCGACAGATTTGGGAATAGGCATAGAGAAAGTCTTAATCTTTAACTTCAGCTCATGATGAATGGGGGCAAAAACAAAAGTATTCGTTTTATAATTTTGTTCAATGTAGATTACACAAGTTGTACATGTCTTCTACTTTATAAGAACACAAACAGGGCAGCAGCAACAATAAACAGACACTAAACCATAAACACATAGTTAAACATAAATCCCCCTCGTCCCTCTCTTCATCATCCATCTAATCCCACCACTCATCTCCCAAAATCATCACATGCCCATTATCACAGTTGAAACACCACTCTTCCCATCCTGCCTAACCAGTAATTACTTGGCGGATTTATTATAATAAATCCAACTACTGAAAAACACCAAACAATAATAATAACTGTTCATCTGCCCCCCATGCATGTTATGTTTGTCATACTGTATTGTCATACCATTGAGTCAGGCATGTCCCCAATACCGAACCTAATGCGATCCTGGTATTATGTTGCTAAGGATTTTTACAGGCAAAAAGCAAAGCTTCCTTTGGGCCCCTTGAGTAAAATGGCATGAGATTAAGTTTTTAATTGAATATTCAGATTCTGTATATTTTTCTAATTTATTTAGGAAGTAAACACAACATAATGTATTAGCAAATGCTAAATTACATGCATTAGAGAGCAATGCTTTGTGGTGTAAAGCGTATCAACATACAGCTATAGCAGGGGTATTCAATTAGATTTCAAAGAGGTCTAGTTAGAGAAAATTTCCTGAAGCAAAGGTCCGGAACATCAAAACGACGAACTTGCGTTATCATTCAGTACTATAACCTATAGTTGTATCAACACATGTTTTTAGTCAACAACGGACTGTCAAATCAAATAATATTTCAGTCAGTTTTCACATCAAACTGGAGGGATAATAAATAATAACTATTCAAATAATAAATTCTAAATTTAAGTAAACTAAAGTGCCTAATTTTTAGAAAAAATGTAATAAAAAGTGTAGCTTGAAGTGATGAAGTGTAGTCTTAACCAATTTTATAATAAACACTCAACACATCATAACAAATGAACAGCTGTAATGCCTCCTCTTCTCTTTCATTTCCTCTTACAGAGCTACCACTTTCCTACTTTCTGTTGTTCAGTGAGAAACGTGAGCTCCAGCTAGCATATTGGAGATCTATGAGATATTCTGATATTCTGGTTTTGAACTGCCCGTGGGAGGAATGTACATGTAAAAATCTGTACATTCTTGATTAAAAGTCATGTGAAATCTCTTTTATCTTTCGTCTCCTCAATTCGGGTGTGTTTCCAAAACGTCTCTGGTGAATCTCGCGGACTCGACTCGCAAGCATCGGTATGCACAGATTTGATTGGCTGAGCAGCGTCACATGAGACGATTGGAGCACATGCGATTGGTCTGTGAGTTTCCTGGTCCTCTAAACCAGTACAGTAAATGCTAGAAAAGCTGCGCGGGTTAAAATAGAAACGCTCCGTCACGAGGTAGTAAGTCTCAATAATAAATGGGCTGTAGGTCGGCGGTCCGGAGAGGACGGCGGCTGGGTCCGGATTCGGACCGCGGTCCGCCTATTAGTAACCTCTGAGCTATAGTATCGACAGAGTCTGAAGCAAATGTTGATGGGTGCTACTCTGCTTGGTCTATTGCAATGTCTTTTCATATTGCTGTCATAATGTTTTGTAAAAGTAAAACTACCATGCTGAACTGAGATGGTGAATGTGGTGAACACTATACCTGCTAAACATCAGTATGTTAACATTTCAATTTTGAGCATTTTAGTTAGCATTTAGAACAACTCAAACACATGATAGCATTCTTCACCAAAGGTTTAGTAGAAATTCAAGAAAAAAGTAAAGGCTGTGAGAGACAGACAGGGATGATGTATGACAAAAGCTGCAGTGCTTTCCTGGTCAAAATGAAACCCCAGGATTCCTGTGATAAATAAACCATGTCAGTAACATCCCTTATTAAAACAAAACAGATACATTGCTGTATACATTGCTGTATACAGTGCTTTCCAATCACCATATTCATGCTTTGTCAACAGGTACCTATAGCTGTACATTGAAAATAAACACAATGAGGTCTGATCTTCATTTGAATGCATTTTCAATTTACTTGTGGCTGATGGCGACATTATTTTGATCTGCTATAACTAGTCTAGTCTTCTAGACAATTGCAGACTTATGTAATGATTTATTTCCATTATCTAGTTACTATATATGGCTCACTGGAAGGCTGTTAATTAGTGTTATTCCCAGACCGCTAAATTATTAAGCTCATTCTGCTACTGAATGTGAGTAATATGGCAGATTTACACTTACACGTGCTGAAAACACACTACAGATATATAAATATTTTCTTTCTTTCCTTCTTTACTCTGGAATTTGCTGTTTGGCATGAGCATAAACACACAATAATTCTGATATTTTTAAGAAAATATACTATTCTGTCTGGGATAGGAAAGTGCCATTGAAAACAAAAAAATATACTGTATACATATGATAAGATGAGATGTAGTTTAACAATGTAATGTAATGACTTGAACAACCAAAAGTAATGGCAGGAACTATATAATTATAGAAGAAGAGAGATCAAGGAAGAGGACCTCAGTAGTTTTCTCTCATTGTTCTACCATAGAACCAGTTTCTTATTGTACTATGGTTGCTATGGTACACTAGAAGCAAAACATTGTTTTTATTTGGGAATTCTTATTTGATTCAAATTGTTTTGTTTTTTTGTGGATTCTCTGCTCACCTTTTTCACAATGAGTCAAGAACACCAGGAAGGTGAAGATGCAAACACTTGACCAGCCAGGCACATCATCTGAGATGGATTCAACAACAAATCCTGGGCTTGCAAACAAAAACAGGTTAGGAAATGAATGCCACAGATTGACAGACTCAAAAAACTGACTTCAAACATGAAGTTGAAATCAGGGCATCTGATTCAGTCTAAAACAATTAACATTATGCTTGCCACACAGTAGGTAGTACTTATTGCAGGGCAGATATTGGACTGTAATATATGGTACAGGTGCTTGAGATACCCCATGTACATGTTTGGGCTTACTAATTTTATAATAAAGAACTGGTTCCAGTGTAAGCTCATGTGAATATCTGACAATCCATGCATTTGATGGGAGAGTTGTCACCAGAGTCACAGTTGGTACACAGACTAACTGGAGAAACGAGGGAGAACACAGTCAAGGTACCGTTTCTTCACACTTCATGCTAATTATGAATCTCTGACCTTGGTTGGTAAATGGCTGTGAATGTCTTGAGATAATTATGAATAATTTATTTTTGTATCTGCAGACTATGAACACCCAAACCAAGAAACATCAAAAGCTCCCCACAAGAATTTGGGGTTGACATCTGGGCAAAAGAGTGGGTTAAGGCAGGGTAAATACCCACAAGATGGTTTACAACGACGAACTACGATGAAGGTTATTATAGCTTATAAAATCCCTCTCTCTCTCACATGCAGCAATGATGTCCTTGGCAAAGTAAAAGCTTTGCTAGGACACTCGGAATACAAGAGGTTTCTCTGAACTTGACTGAGTATTCTCATGTCATTAAACTAACATTTGAAATGCACTTTGTGGAGGGACCTTAGACAAATGGTGAATAGAAAACATTTGCATATATGAGCTTTTTGTGTGTTTTAGAGATGCATTTACAATTGGCAAAAAAAAAACTGAATTTGAGTTTTCATTGCCTTGTCTATCCTTGTCACAATGTAAGTCTTATCTTGTGAAAGATGATATGACATGGTATCCAGAGACATGGCGTTTCACAGTTTTTGATTTATTCATGAAGCACAAGTAAAAGACCTCAAAGAATTTAATAAATTATGAAGCGTCTTTGTTTTTTCTCCTCAGAGCGTTCCTAAAAACATGAAGTCTGAGTTGGAGATATCCCCAGATAATGAAGTGTTGGATTTGCTCAGCAAGGAAACTCCCCAAACTCCTGCAGCCTGCCAAGGAGAAACTGAGGAGTCTTTAACTAATCTGGACAAGGTATAGGGGGGAAATGACACTTTTAAACCGCTCCTTTTCCTCTTCTCGTAGAAATATGAATTCCTTCATGGGACATGCAATTAGTCTGCGTTTGTCTCATAGAAAAACTTACCTGTCACTACTGGTGCTTGTTTTAAAACATGCCCGACTCTAACATACGTTTAATGAATACCTCATTAACTGGAATA